AGGAAATCTGCCGTGAGTCAGTTCTGGGTTGCAAAGATGGGGGTTTGTCATCAGAACACGCTCAGCAAAAGGGATTTAAGCAAGGCTGGTGAGCACAGGGGTCGGGGGCTGCCTGTCAGAGCGGCGTCTCCGACAGAAGGCAGCTGCTTTCAGCTCAGGCACGAATTCCTGAAGAGAACAGCGCCAAGAACCCCGGGCAAACCTGGCCGAGAGGGGGAGTTCAGCTTTGTTCTGCTGTGCTCTTACTCACTGCTGCAGTGAGGGTTGGAGGAGAGGAACCACCATCTCGCCACGCTGCTCCTCCGGGCAAAGAAGAGATCGGGGACCTGAATTTATGACCCCCCAGGGCACGGGCAGAGGGAGCCAGGTGGATGCTTCTCCTTCTCTCAGACGCGACCCACAGGCACGAAATAATAAATTGCAGGCTCATAGATACATTCTTTCATGGTTTACAAAACACAGCTCCCGAGTGAGGGCGGGCTGGGATACATTCACATCCCGCTTTCTCTGACCGGGATACACACACAAAACCTTTCTGGACAAACTCCTTCTCGACTGAAATCTACCTCTGCAAACATCCACCCTGCAGCAAGGGTGCCCAGTTCACCAGCTCGGTGAAGATCTGGACGAGGGCAAGAGGGCGAGGAAGCAGCCGGGACGAAAGGCAGAGCTGCAGGAAGAGCAGCCCGGGGGCACACGAGGGCCCCTCGCAGCACCTTCCCCACCCCTCGGGTCTGCTGCTGCCCCAGCTGTCCCCTCCTGCCCGGGGCTCCTCCACACCTGCCACAGCTGCCCGGGGCTCCCAGAGCTTGGATTAGTCCCAGGACGTGTTTCCACCCCTTATTGTCACTCGAGGGGACGCTCAAACCTCAACATTGTGTTTGGTTTTGCTTGCACGAATCACCAAATAAAAAGATTGCCCGGGGGTGGTTTTGAACGTGCAAAGACAACACACATAAAAAGCAGAAGCCGCCCGTCGTTTTAATCCCTTCTCCTCGGTGATTTTACGCGACAGCAAAGGACATAACACGTGGAAACGGGTCAAACCCTTCATTTTGGTGAAGGGCCTGGAAGCCCAATTTCCTGGGAAGCCGTAAGAGCTGCGGGAATTCTCTGGTGCCCTCTGCTGCCAGGCAGCAGCAGTAAGGAAGCCCCCGGGCTCTCTCTGACCCCCCACGACTCCCTGACCCTTCCCACGTGCCAAGAGAACGGATACAGACCCACCCCGTGCCCGCTCCTGGCAGCCCAACACTCCTGTCACACACCTGGACGAGCCAAAATCGACAGGAAGGTTCCCCCAATTAAAAAGGTCGATTAATTAGCCGGCATTTCTGCCCAGCAGGCTGTTACCCCTCCCCTCCCCTGGCCGCACGCTTGGCACGGGTCCTTTCTGGTCCTTCCCTGACGGAGAGAGAGAGAGCCCCAAGTGTTTTCCGTGTGGGAAGCGGGCAGCCCGGGCTCGTGCCGCTCCCGGGACAGCACGTTCCACACGCCGGGGTTTGTGCCCTCCTTCCCAGGCGGGCTCTGGATGCGGGCGACCGAGCTCTCGGGAAGCTCCCGGTCCTTCCCCACGCTCTGGAACCGGTTCCCACTCCGCTGGGAAAAGGGAAAGTAACGACAGAGGGTGAACTCTCTCCCACTGGAGCAGCTGCCACGTGGTGGAGCGGCCCTGGGAACTCGGTCAGTGCCCAGCTCTCCCCCTGGCACACGTGCCACCCTGCACTGCTGCAAGCACTGAAGAGCCACCTCGTTGGGAGCCAGGGGATTTCTTTTAAGTGGTTTGAATCATTTGGGAAAGCAGCTCCCTTCAGAGGATTTGTCTGTGCTCGAAGGGGAAGGGGCTGTCGTCCAAACCTGGTGCCGAGGGAGCAACCGGGAGGGAGGGAGAGTTCCAGGGGTACAGTTGTCACCACAATTTATCCAGTAGTCAAAACAAGACATGTGGACTAGAAATGGCGACAGTGGACTTAAAAGAAGAGCCACAAGGTCAACATCTGCCACCTTCGTCACCTGCAAAGCCGCAGCCACGTGTGCTCTCTTCCCATCGCAACCACGACGACAAGGACACGGGAATTAAAGAATTCAGGCACAGTCCAAGAACTCTTGCTCTCATCAGGAACACCCAGAGCACGACCCAAAATCCCACCAGGAGCCTGGAGCCTGCCTGACCCAGCTCCCTCCTGGATCCTGGACACGGGAAATCAGACCAGGGAAAAGGGCTTTTCAGGAAAGAGGAGGTAAAAGTGACAAACCCACAGGCAACCCCTAATAAACTCTCAGGTCAATGAGAAGCACAGCTCCCTGTCAAGGGAAAAAACACCCACAGTTTGAACTGGAAAGCACTTCACCTTTCCAACTTCCAGCCAGCCACCATTTCCACTTCACCGTTTAGGAGGCAAAAAGCAGCAGCTAAGGCAGCCCATCAGTCTCCTCAGATCTCCTGAGCTGCCATCGAAATTATTTCCTGAGCCAAAAAGAGCCCCCCCAAAAAAAGCAAACTCCAAAGCACTGAGTTTTCTTTGCCTGGCTCCAGGAGCTGCTGGGGCCACAACTCTGCGACTCCACCCCCTCTTCCAAAGGGCTTTGGATCAACCCAATTAACTCACTCCAAAGTGTGTCACCGTCGAGCCTGAATTAACCTCCGAAAAAGAAAATTAACGGCTCTGGGTTCGTTTTGGCTCCAGAAGCAGCTTCTCCCTGGGGTGCCCTCCCAGCCCATCAAACAGCACCCACCTGGCTCCAAAGATGTCTTTTTTGGCCAGGTCGATGCCCGAGACCACCTTCACTCTGAGGATGCGAGACTCCTCCTGCAACAGAAAAGGAAACGGGTTTAATTCTTGTTGCACTGGAGGGCAACAGTTGGCAGGAGGTGAAGAGACAGCAGGAGTCTCTCCCAGGGAGGGTGTGGAAGAGAAGAACCTCTCAGGAGGGGGTTTATCCGAATCCAGAGCTGTTAAGACTTCAGAGAAAGCAGAGTAAGAGCAGATAACAGTAATAACATCAGAGCCATAATAATGGAACACTAATAGCAATAAAACCAGAAGGGGATTTGCTGAGCGGGGCCATTTCCCATCCTAAACGGTCCATACCCCCCAAAATTCCTTCAAAGGCAAGGGAAAAGGTTCGTAACATTTTTGTTCTGAGAGATGCCCGGGGTGGCAAAAATAAGGAAGCGAGGTTCAAACTAAATCCTCCAAATGATTTTTTTTTTAAGCCTGTCTCAGCACTTTGGGGAGCTCCAAACCGGCGTTCCCTGCCACTTGGCACCTATCGGCGATCCCTTCCCCGCTCTGATAAACCTCCCCCGAGCTGCAAGATCCCAGATCCAGTTACGGTAACTTGAGCCGCCGTCCCTCGGAGCCTGTTGAGCAAACAACGCCGCTTTCCCCCCGGTTCCTCCCGGGCTGTTTGCTTTTCCCCCGCTGCCCGGGCGAGGGCAGGAGCAGCACAGCCCGACCCGCGCAAGGAGGCACGGGCAGGGGACTCCCGGAACACGCAGCAACAGTGCCACCGAACCCGTCCTGGCACCGGGCTGCGGGAAAACGACACCCGACACCGAAATCCTTCCTCCGGGCTGGTTTCTGGGATGCTCTCCAGCCCCGCGGAACGCCGTGCAAGGGAGTTTCTAATTAAGAGAGAGGATTCCTTCCCCCAAAAGAGCCCAAAGCTTTGAAGAGGTGAATAAAACAGCGTGTGAAAAAGAACAATTCAGGGGTCTAACATCAGTAGATAGTCGATTTTTTTTTCAATAGCAAGTGCCTGAGCTTCTACAGCGGTTTTAACCCCCAAAAGGCAATGAACTTGCAAATTGTGATCAAGAAAATTCCTTCACTCGGAGAAGACAGCAGAGAAGAACCCAGGCAGAAGCCCGAGCCTGTCCTGACCGGGAGGGTTGAGGAGAAGCGGGGATGCCGGGTCTGAAGGCCAACAAACATCCGGTGGAGTCCTGAGTCTCACACCGAGGAACGGAGCAGGTTAACGAGGCCGATCAGACACTCGGCTCAGCGGGAAGCAGGAACACGGTTCCCCGGGAGGATCCACGGGAGGGGAACAAGGGCCTCCTCCAGCCCCCCACGGACACCCTCCCTCAGGCATCAAAGAGTGGAAGAGGAGGAGGGACAGGTCCCCAACCCGAGCAAGAGGTTTTTTTGCTGCACTCTAAAAAGGCACTTGCATAACTAGCCCGGGTATATCTTAAAAACCAAAGAGATGCCGCAAGCAGCGGTGTAATCTTGGGATCCTCCTCCCCTCCCTCCTCACCTGCTCACCACCCCACCCCGGGGACACTCCAGCTGCCTCCCCTGCCCACGCTCCCGTCCTGCCCCCGCCGTGGCAGGGCCTGGTTAGCTATTAGTGCTGAGCTCCACCATGAACCCCGGCCACGCTGACTTCTGTCCAATCATTAACACCCAGTTTGTGTTCTCTTGCCTCCTCAAAACATGCCAGAGGTTACAGAGTTCTCCTCTTTGCTAAAGGGTAACCTTTACGCAGGTTGAGTGTTCTCGGCTGCAATTCCTGGTGCCATTTTAGGTGATTTAGGTGGAACCCAGCTTAGGAAGTGGAAGCCAACTATGCAGCAAACCCCAGACTTCACCTGCAGTGAACAAACCCCAGTTCACCTCAGAAAACACACGAAGGAACGCGGATGCATTGAGAGATTCAAGAGACTTCTGCAGGAATATTTATCTGGATGATTCCCAAGTTGTTAATTCTTTGTGAAGCGAACACCACACTCGCTTCTCCAGCTGCTCTGGAAAGCTCAGTCACTCCTAACACCCATTAAAGCACTCACACAAAGAAAACTCATTAAGTCCTGCCCTTGGATTAATAAAATACCCTGGAGCTGGGAAGTTCAGGGAAGAGTTATGGCAACAAAAGAGAAAGAAGACGGGCCGAGCACAGTGCCCCAACCGGTGATCCAGGAGGGGCAGCTGACCCCAGACAGATGTGCTGTAAAACCAACCTGAACAAGGTGCGGGATGCACATCTGGATGTTCTAAATGCCCACTGAAAGGAGTCCCCAGCCGGGCACGGCGTAGGGAGCAAAGCCGCCGACGCCGGCTCCCGACAGGACAGACGGTCCCGTGACACGCCAGGACTGCCCGACACGACAATCGACGGGGGTATAAAATTAGAGCTGGGCTTTGTCGGGACGAACAGACAAGTGGGGCAGGCACAAGGGCCGGATCGATGCGAACCGATCTCCGAACAGCAGAGCGGAGCGGATCAAACGCTTTAGATAAAACCCAGCCCCGAGCCCGGCCCCGCCGGACGGACCAGTCCCCCCTCCCGTTTCCGAGGGTCCCCAGGGCGCACTCACCCGGGCCCCCAGCCCCGGCGTGGCCCGGGAGGCAGAGCAGGTTTCACCCCGGAGCCCGCGCCTCACCTGCGGGAGCTTCACCTGAGCCGCGCCGGGGGAGGCTGGGCCGGGGTTGGGCGCTTTTTTTTCCGCTCTCCCCGCGGAGACATTTTTGATTCCAACCCCCGATAGGCGCCGGCGAGGTAACTTTCCACTGGCGGGGAGGAGAGAAACCAGATCCCGCTGGAATGTTACCTGCGTGCCGAGACTCTGCGAATCCGGTTTCATCCGCTGAGCGCCCTCAGCTCTGGTTTTATTATTGAGCTTTATGGCCGAGTTTGCAAAACACAACTCGCCAAAAAAAGACAACAGATCTTTAACTCCGTGCTCTGGTGGCAAAACACATCGGAATGGAAAAGACAACAGTCTTTAAGCCAGTGTTTTAACCGTGGCACTTCTGGTTTCCTGAAGGAAAACAGAAGCCTGGACGCAGCACACACACGGTCACCCAAACACTGCTCTTAACTCTGCCCATTATCTGCCGTTTCAAAGCAAAATAAAGTATTTGTCACCTGTGTAACAGCAGGGCTGCAGCCAAGTCTAACCGTGTTAGGCTGGTCCTAAATCTCCCGGCAGCTGAAACCGAGCTCGACGGCAGGAGAGTGGAGCCGATCCTTACTTTGATTGCTGGTGGATGAAACCAAAGCACCTACAGCCCCGTGAAAGGGAAGCTGTTCCACATCCACATCCTGCACAGAGTATTCCCAGATCAGATCCTCCTGTTCTGACTGAGCCCAAGAGGCAGGACCCAAGCAGGGTGCCCCGTCCCTTGGCGTGGTGCCCTCACCCCCCCAGGTGAGACCAGCCAGGACCCCAAGTGACGAGCGCAGCCTCTGAGGACATCACAGTGACTTTCTGAAGGCCACAGCAGCACAACGTGATAAGATTCCGGAGAATTCTGGCGATATCTCACTAATCTTGAAGCCGTCTGTGGCCATTTTGCCAACAGTGTTCGATACAATCTCGGCTCTGCAGCGCAAACAAAACCGAGCACCGGGGCTGTGACCCACATCTCCACTCGGCACGGGAAAACAAACTTAAAAGGTCAGTTGGTTACAAACCACCTCCTCACCTGGCCCAGGCAGGGAAATGAAAATCTCCCCACAAGCGGCCTGGGAACAGATCTTCACCCCTGCGAGCCAGACTCGAGCAATTTTAGCCAGCACGTCGAACCAGGTCACCCGTGAGCTTCAGAAACGCCGAAGAGAACGCACAAGAACCTTAAATTAACGGCCTTGGGAGACTTGACTCCCCTTATTTAAGGTTTAGACCTATTTATGTCGCTCACTGAAAGAATTAATCCGAGCAACACAGCGTTCTCTGCACAGCCTCGTTCCCTGAGCTCTCCAGTGCAGGAATCCCAGAACCACGAAAGTTCGGTGACTTCTTTCTTCCCTTTCTGACACACAAAACCTGCCCTTCAAGCACCAACTACCCCAAAACAAGAGAAGATGCTCCCCCACGTAGGATGATGACAGGACACTGGCTCTGGTAAAAGAACAAGGCTGGTTTCATTTCAGAGCCTCGTTATCCTCAGGTCAGGGGCCTGCACAAACCCATTACTTTTCCAGCAGCACCTTCAGAACTTATTAGGCAAGAGAAAACCACAAAACTCCATGTCCCCAGTGGATGTCTGACAATTCTGCCCAATGAAGAAGGGGCTGAATTCCCAACTCGCAGCCCGCAGGAAGGACTGAGGGAAGGACCCCGCAGAAGGACTTGCTTTCAAAGCACAACCATCAGGATTTTACCTTTCACCGACCAACCTCTGATACACTTACATTTTAATTATAAAATAAACCCCCCACCCTAATCATCTTGAACTGGTGGTTTTGATATGAAATCCACCGGGCCCTTGACATTTAAACTGCTTAAAAGTGAAAAATGAACAGGGAACAGGCCCCGGCCTGCAGAGCCGAGCAGGGACAGCACCAGGAGCTGCTGAAACGGGCCCTGCTGGAAAATCCTTGAGAGGAGGGAAACCACCCTGACTGACAAGGCAGCAGGAAATTCAGCCTGTCCTTTTCCCGCTCCTTTAACTCTTGTAAAAGCTCTCCTGCAGGAACTTCAGCTCCGAGCAGAAGTGGGGAACGTGAGTTTTCACGGGGAGAACTTCATTTTCCGCCACAGTTTGTTTTGTTGCATGAGTCATCCTATTCTCCCACCAGAAATTAAATTAGGTCTTCCAGCTCTGGGCTGCAGTTAATAATTAATGTTTCTGTGCGAGTTGCCAGCCTCCCCGGCGCAGAAATTCTTCCAAAGCCATTAACATTTCAGCGAGTGCTGCTGTCAGTCACGCCAGCAGCTCACTCCTTTGGCCCCTCTCCTCCATCTTTTGAAAACGAGTATCAAGCCATATCCTCTGGCAGTGCCTCTTCTCCCTCCAGGCTCTGCCCCCCGAGGATTTTTACTCTGGGGGAAGGATCACTCCATTACAGCCGGAGTGAG